CCTCCAAGGGGACAAAAACGAACCAGCAGATCATCTTGTGTGTTGAAGCATTCAGAAAAACTGCCAGGCATTTGACCAATCTGTTGAAGTATTCAAGGAAAACAACAGCAAGGAGTACGTAGAAAAGGAATGAAATGGGCAAAGATGATCAATAATCCAAGCACAGCAAAAGTTGTAGAAGATTAATTTTGAAGAAACCCTGCCAAGCCCACTGAACGGCCCATAAATGACCCCTGGGAAAGAACCATGATTTCCCCACTTTGGGAACTTCTGCCGATTAGTGTTAAACCAGAGACAAAAAGGTATATCCAAAAGAATAGCAGCGGACTTACGGCAACACACAGATGCCTACAGGACCTTCAACCCATCTTCCTCCTCCCTGCCCCCGAGAGGGTGGAAGGATAAGACAGCAGGGCTCGAGGCGAGCCCATGTTGAGGGAGAGAAATTTTGAATCAAATATGAGATTACACTTTAAAAGGGAACAGAACTGAATCTTAGTAACAGAAAAGGCACTTTAGACAGCTAGATGGCTGGGATATTATGGAAATACTGTCATCAACAAAGCTCTCTAACCTGAGAGAAAAAGAGAGGTTTAGCAGGAATCAGAAATAGCAGCTTCTGAAAAATAACTTAAAAATTGTCATTATAGGAAAATGGTTGTATCTTGAGCCTATAATATTAAATGAAATAAATCAGACACACAGCTTAAATATCACATGGTTTCTCTTATAAGAGAAATGCAAAATGTAAATAAAAAGCAAATAGGAATAGGGACTTCTTTGGCAAAAGGGAAGGGGATCAAGAGATGGAGGGAGGGGTATGGAGGGAAGGGGAAAGGGTTGAAAAGAATTAAGATGTGCTATGCACATGTACATGTGTTATGCACAGCTCCCCACGATGAATGTGCTGATAAAAATAGGGGGAAAATATTATGTTGTTCTGCAAGAGTCCTCAATCAGACTAGCTACAGAAAATTAGAAAAATATCAGAGGGAGGTGTGTGCTGAGAATTCAAGCAGGCGGATGGGTTGCTTACTGCGGGGTGAATGTGCAGGAGGCAGTCTGTACAGCCAGGTCAGAGTGTCGGGGTTGGATAGGGAGACAGTGGGCAGTCCTCCCAGTAAGAGGAAAGAACAGAGTAAGTCAACAAGGTGTTGGTGTTGTGGGTTACGATGAGAATAGGATAAAATGAGACCAGAGACGCATGTAAGGGGTAGATCTAAGAAGTAACCAGATGGCAGAATGAGCTGTACCTTTCCGGTTGGGACAAGGCAAAGAGGCACAAGTTTCATGGGGCAGGCATGGTCCCTTTGTGCCACATACAGCCCTCCAAAGTGCCTATGGGAGAACCTGATGCCCAATATGATGGTTTGAGATGTGGCCTTTGGGGCGCCTTTCCTCTTCTGCCATATAAGGACACACAGAAGTTGCCGCCAGACCTTCGAACCCACTCACCAGATCTTGTGGAGGACCTCCAGTCCTCCAGAACTGTGAGCAATCAATTTCTGTTGTTTATAAATTACCCAGTCTAAGGTGTTTTGTGGTAGCACCCAAAAAGACTAAGGCAAGACTTGATACCCAAAGTGGAATATTGTTGTAACAGACACCTAAACATGAGGAACCGGGTAAGAAGAGACCGGGAGAGTTCTGAGGTCCACTGCTGTGAAAGGAGCCTTCAGGACCTTGCTCGAAAGGCACAGAGGATGGGAGCTGAGAGCCTCGGGCTTCTCAGAGGATACTAAGTGGTGCGACTGGCAGACCGGTAGGAGATGAGGTCTCAGGAAGGAGGAATGTGTTATTGGAAATGGGAGGAAAGGCCATTCTTATCTTAAAGTGACAAAGACCTTGGTGGGATTGTCCCTGTGTTTGATGAAAGGTAGAACTTAATGTGTGAGGAAATATTTGGCAGAAGAAATCTCTAAGCACAGCATTAAAGGAGCAGAATGACTTGGTACCTTACTTTTTGGGGTATGCATCTGCTGATTTCACACACACCAAGTGCCTGACTGACTGCCTATATACTAGCTGTGGTTTCATCTGCCTCTGCTTCCTACACTAACTACATTCACACTAACTACTCCCTGCATGTCCTCAACTCCGGCCTCACCCGCAAGCATGGCCTGGCTTCATCTCCCTCCACCAACATAAACATTTCCTTCCCACGGTTCTGCTGCCTGCCCAAATCAATGCCCTGCAAAAACCATGTCAAATGCCTTTGCAACCACAAAGGCTGCTGTTTGCTGAACTAAATGTAGTATTCTTTAAAAACAAAATCAAAAAAACTTTAGGGCCAGGGATTTGGCTCAGTGGTTCCACCACCTGCCTCATAAGCACAAGGTCCCAAGTTCGATCCCTGGTACCAATAAATAAATAACTTTAATTAAATAACTAATACAGCATTAAAGAAAAATGAGAAAATACAAATAACCAAAAGGAAGAAAAATTCTACATCCGAGAAATCTGTGACATTTCAATTGTTTCTTTCATTGTCTACGAGGAATCCTCCGGCCCCAGCCTTGCTTACTTTAAGTATAATGGAATTATGCATACTTTTTTTTTAGGTGATAAAAATTCCACTCTAGTCTTCTCTGGAGTTTCTTCCTTGCCTCTCCCATCCCTCTACCACATCTCCTCAGGTGTGCATTTCCGTGGGAAACCTACAGTGCAGAGTGAGAAATGGTTTGTCCCTCATTAGAATCTTCTCTGGGAATTTCTCAGCCTGATCATGTTGTAAAGAGTGAAAAGTCAGTACTCAGGGAGGCTGAAGCAGCAGGATCCCAAACTCAAGCCCAGATTGGACAACTTAGCGGACTTTGAGAAACCCTGTCTTAAAATAAAAATTAAAAATGGGCTGGGGATCTAGCTCCACGTGAAGACCATGGGTTCACTCACCACACCACAGTGAATGCTTGAATGATACAGGAGAGGCCATGGGGGTAAGAAAAAGAGTGACCAACCCCACAGACAATGAGAAGTTGCCTTGCCCACCACATACCCAGGAGGCAGAATGGTTCCGAGATCCTACACTGCACTCTGGCACAGCACTCACTCCTAGGCCGACTGGAACTGTGCCCACGCAGGCCCAAGTAAGGCTCAGGCTGCTCCTCCGGAAGTCACAGATGGCTTATCATGGAGACGTCTGTGCAGTGCCACCTCCACAGGTGCAAGTCCATGAGCTGTGAGGGCGGACGCAGCCGTGGAGGTGCCCTGGAAGGCTCGGAGCCCCAACAGGATGGGGCCACCAGAGAGAGCCCCATCCCATGTGTAGCTACTGGGAGAGCCACTGGCTCAGGACTGCACTCAGGAGAGGCACTGCCCGTGTGGGCTTCTCCAGGCAGTGTGAGGTGAGACTGTGGGGCCTTTGGCGGCCCAACCCTTGACTCAGTGTGTCCGGAGCCAGTACAGAATCAAGGGTTACTCTCAAGCCTTGCGGCTTCATAAGTGTTTGCCTTCCCAGAGTAAGAGAATCTGCACTCGGCTGTGTTGTGACTGCAGAAGTCACACACACACACACACACACACACACACACCCCTTCCCCTGCATTGGGTTTTGGACTTAACCTAGGCTTTCTGCTTTTTCCTTCCTATAACTCAAAAAGAGCAATTTCAGCAGGAAGCTTTCATTTTGCAGGGCAGAGCTCAAGTCAAGGACAAGAGGCACTGGTGTGAAAATCCTGACACTCAGCAGTAACGTCTGTAAGCTAACTGGCTCCCTGACACACTGAAAACACATCGTGTAAGGATTCGACAGCCGCTGGGTGTACACTTGTGCAGATGACTGCTGCGAGGCCATGCTTACCAAGGTTTTCAGGGCTGAAGAGTGAAAAGGACAAACAGTAAAATCTTTTCTAGTGACAGAGAAAACATTTAGCACCTAAGGGGCCAAATTTGAGGAGTAAAGACTTTACATTTTATATTCTCCACGTGAGATTCTTCAAGACAGGAAAGCATAAACTACTCCTTTTACAACCCAAACAGAGACCACTACTACATCTCCAACCACAAATACTTGGTAAACTCTTAAACAAAACATGTATTAGTGATTTGTGTGCATTCTAATAAGTGCCTATTCAATATATAGTCTGAAAAAAAGGATGGGTTTTCAAAGTTTAATAAGTAATGATAATATATAATGAGAACTTCTGATTTCTTTCATTTTTAAAACTAAACATATTTGAATGGAAAACAAAACAGTCTGATTTCTTAGGAAACACACCTCCTAGTTTCTAATTCCCCCCTTCAATGGGTTCATAATCTGAAATAACTCCCTCTGCCCCTAGGATTATTTGTTATTTTCTAGAATAATCTTTTTTTTGGGGACAGGGTCTCACTACGTAGTTGAGACTGACCTGAAACTCACTATGTAGCCCAGGCTGGTCTCAAACACACAGCAATCCTCCTGCCTCAGCCTCCTGAGTGCTGGGATTTCAGGTGTGTGCCACCATGCCTGGCTACAGAGTAATCATTTTATCCTTAGACTCAGTTTTAAACATTTTCATAATCTCATTATATACCCCACCCCCAAGTCGCCAAGTGATTCTTATTTGTTTCTCAGTTTTTCAGGTTAGGTAAACTGCTGAATCCATGTGTGGCTCATACAAACTGGGCGAGGCCAGTATCAGTAGCTTGGGGGTGGGGTGGGATAAAAAAATGAAAAGCAAAAGTCCTTTCATGTTAACATTTTATTTAAACCAGTACAAGCACCATGCTTAACAAAAGACTGTCCAAAATAAACATGCAGTGTGAACTAGCAGAGACTGAAACCACAGCTTAAGAATGGTGCCAATTGTCGGTTTTGTTAAACGATGACAGAGAACTGTTAAAATTCACAAGACTAAACCATTAATGTTTCAAGCCTCCTGAATGAGATTATACTGTACCAGTGGGAACCGCCTCAGCATGTTAGTGACCTCAAAGAATATTCCAATAATTACATGTACATGAATTATATTCCACAGAGCAAGAAAACAGTTTCCATCACAAGCTCATTTAGTTGTTTTAAACATTACAGGAATATGCTCACTGATGTGAAATGTCAAATGGCCTAAAAAGAAACAAGTTTCTCAACAATACTCAATTTGGGACCATTGGTTTTAAGTGGCCTAGAAGACTATTTACACTCTTCCAAGAAATACAAAATAGGATTTGTCCAGAAATGTTTGAAACACTTCTTCACGTTAAGTTGTAAAGGCTCAAACTTTGTAGATTCCAGTATTATCAGTCCACTGAACAAAGAGGGAGTCCAACCATACTAAAAATACTTGAGCTGACAGAATACGAGTTACTCTCTACTTCCACCAAATATCAGCATTTAAACTTTTATGAAAATATCTATTCATCACTAGTCCACAAACGGATTAATGACACTGTTTGAGATTTAAAAGTAGTCCAAACAAGTTTTTAAGTACACCTTCCTTAGCATCTACATATATGGGTGGGAGGAGGACAGCCAAAGTGAATTTGGCAATAAACTCCCCTGCCCAGAAATGTTTGGTTACAATGTCAGACCAGGATACGGTTTATGGCTACCACTGACTCCTGAAAATAGGAGATAAAAGAGAGAGGAAAGTGCTGATAGACATTTTGCCACATAGATTATTTGGTAACGACAATAAAAAATTTAGCAACACTCTCTTAAAACGAGTATGTTTAACTGTACTAGGCATTTAGTAAACTGTTTAGAAATAGACAATTCAAACGTTTATTCCAGAAGTCAGTTAAATGAAAACAATCAACTTTTTTTCCTAACGTAATTGCCTCAATACCAGAAAAGGTGACTATTATTCAAAACTCAGACAGTTTGGAATTCCAGCATAGTAACCTGAGGAGCGTTTTCTTCTTATGTTACTTATGTTGCCACAAAAACCATACTAAATTCATACTGAGATCGCTCATTGGTTCTCTTTTGACATTAGATGCTATGCAGAACTTACTCCAGACCAGACCGGTAAAAACCTAATGCTGACTTAGAAGACTTCATAGGACAGTACTGATAACTGCAAATTGCCAATTGTTTTGCAGTACTTTATTACACTGGGTGTCTTGTCTTTTGGGGGCTTTTAGTTAGCTAATGAATGTCTACATTAGACACTTTGGGATTTTAGTTGGATTTTACATAGCTCGCATTTTAATTCTTTGGTTCTTTGCTGTTTCTAACAACCCATAGCATTATTTTAATAAATGTTATACTATCAACCTACTAACTCTGGACTATGTCTGTTTATTAACCTTTACATGTTTAATTAAAATAAACAAGGCAAAAAAAAAAAAAAAAGACCGTGTGGGAGTTTCCAAGGAAAAAGCTGGTGACAAAAAGGAAAGATTAAGATTTAAGGTTGAATGGGAATGGTTATACTAGAAAGATATGGAATGTAAAAACTGGAATTATGAAATTTGTAGTTACTATTTTTGGAAGGCAGAAAAACACACTTAAGTAGGAAATACATGGTGAAAAAAAAGAACAATATGAAATTTAGTTAGATTAAAGGGAAGTTTACATAAATATGTGAGAAATACTTTAGAACCCGGGATTTGATCTTCCCATAGGATATGCAGAATAAAAAAACACGGTCTACTGATCCCCTAAGTGAACAATAGGATGTTTTGCAAAACATGCGTTATTGGTATAGGAGCCAAACAAGCTCAAAAAAGAACGTTTTTTTCATAGCTCTTTGCTCCTGCTAGAGAATAAGGGAACTAAGAGTTCTGTGTTGGCAGGTCAGTACTTTCTGACATTATGGAGGACTTCCCAAGTTAAACAAACAAACAAACAAAACCACCAAATCTGAAGTATGAAAGACAAAATAAGAAACCTCATTTAAAAAAATACATTCTTACAGCACCAGTTTCTTTACTGATGAAAATTAGGTAAAACACAATCTCATTTCCTTCATTCAAAAACTACTCTCCACTTGCATTTCTGCAGAATTATGAGCAAAGTATTCTCCACAATCAAAATATTCGAGAAATTCTTAAACTTTCTGGACAGTTTCGCTCTTTGGAAATTGAAATAAAGGACTTTCCATTCATTAACCAAAACAAACACCTACTCTATTCCTCATCTCCAACTTGTGATTGTTTCCTGACTTCTTGATTAGTGAAGCCAAATGGTGTTGGGAACCGAAGATGCTCTATTCAATGTTCTGAAAATTCCATCTTTATTTCTTTATTAAAGTTGGCACAGAACCCTCAAAAATGAAATGCGAAGGACCTATGTATGGAGCATATGCCAACATAAAAATAATGCCTTTGCTAGTTTTGAAATGATTACGATATTCTTAACATAAGAATTCACTCATCCAATTGGGTTAGCCTCTGCAACTTCTGAATCTTAAGTTGTTTTTACAGTATGCTATGTATTAGCACTCTCATTTTATGCCAAGGGTGATGTCATCTAACATGACTGGCTTAGTCAATCATTCACATGTCCAGTGTAGAATATGTGCTGACATTTAGGGTAGGAGATGAGATTTCTATTGATGTGTTGTTATCAACTCTGGCCAAGTCTTTTAAGACAAGTAAGTTTATATATGGCACAAAACTAATCAGAAATACACCCCAAATTTTCACTCTCAACTGCCATATATTCACCAATGCCAATGGATAGTTGGAATTTTAAAAATAAGAGGCTGATTTTATTATAAATTTCAGATACACATACATTAGAAAATTGTTCTACTTGGACCCTTTAAAAAAGTTAATTTCACCAAATCTAGAATACTGGCAGTGTAAAAATCTTAAACTATAAAACTAACAAATCAAAGGTACAGTACTAACATACTTAAAATAATGAGTGTTCACAAGACATTGGGAGATGCTTTATAAATAAAATGTTATTAACCTAGATTAGAAACTATCTAGAAATAACACAAACAGGAAGGAAGCCCTTGGTTATTACAACCCACCAATTTCTAAGACTAAGATGCTATTTTCCATAAGAAGAAAAACTAAGTCATATTCTATCATAAAATCTAACTCCCAGACCTTAAGAATGACTGATTGATGAACATAGTTTCTAGACTTGATTTAAAAGATATAGGAAATCAAAAGAGGTATGACATTGGTGAAAAATGTACTTAGAATGCAGGTTACACTAAATTAGTTACTACTCATGGCTCAAAATTGGGTAGTCAAGTCTTTAACTCCAAATTAATGTCAACAATTCGACGAGTGATAATATGCTATTTTCATATATGAACTGCTAATATCCAGTATTTGTCAAAAGGAGGCAACAGCTGTCTATCACAATCTAATACCCACTTTCCAATGGTGTCTGTAAATAGTAACAAATTCGGAACCATAGTAATACAAATTAGTCACAAGAGTGCAAAAAGTCCCTGGAGAAAAGGGGTCCACCTAACAATTACAAATATAAGGAAACACTTTACAAAGTTTCATTACTATGAAGATGATTTCCTCTTTGTTCAAACTTTGCACAAATGAATTTTTCTTTACTGCGGGAAATAAACTGTAAGTAACAGTGCATTTTTAGGCATAAATAAGTATTTATGTCTGGTTCCAGTATGGTCAGGTTAATACATAAATACTTTAGAAACACAGAAGTTCACATTAGTGGAAAAATCCAAGTTTCTCACGTAACCACTCTTCAGTTAGGTCTTCAGTATTTCTTATTTCAAATACCTTCAGGGGAAAAAAAAACTCACGTCACACTCTGTCTGAGGCCTTAGAAAACACACTGTATATAATATATATTTGAATATTAAATATCAAATTATGTCTCCTTAATATTGGTCATGACTTCATCTGTGTAAATCAGATATCCCTTTTAGGCAGCATTTTACTTCTTTTAAATGCTAAATACTCAGTTGCCACAGTATAGCAAACAAGATGGCATAAAAACAAAACTCCCTTAAAAGCACTGATCTGTAAGTAGTCTCCCATCCAAGTACTAACCAGGCCTGACCCTGCTTGGCTTCAGAGATCGAGAACGTTCAGGATGGGAAGGCCGTAGACAGATGTGTTCATATTCTAAGAGCAGTTCTGAAAACCTTACCGGTTAGAAGAGATGCCCAAGTACATACAACTAAAATCAATCCAGTTAGGAGCTAGAATACAGATCCTCCATAATTTTAGCAATAAATGTAAACACCTGCCGTGGATTGCTTTGCTAAAGATAGAAGGGAGCTGCACAGCCCAAATCTAAACGTGAATCTGAATTAACACAGCTCAGAAAAGTATAACGGCTATGGTAAGACTGAATTACAGAAAAACGAGTGGCAGTGAGATTATTTACAAACGTAACTTGTGATTTGTAATGCGTCACCTCTAGCACTCCAGGGTACGTGTAGGATTCTAAAAGATGCCCTCTTTTTTTGCAGGGGTGCAGGGGCCCAGGGCTTTGACATGCTAGGCACTCTATAGCTCCTTTCTAACCACCTCTTACAGTTTGGGTCTCGATGTCCCCCAAAGCCTCATGTGGTCATAGGCTGGATCTAGACTGTGTGATACTGGATTGATTCATGTGCAATGCTAAGCTCAAGGGCACCAGGATTAAGGGGGTGAGTGCTGCCCACCCCAAGTGGTCTGAACAAGATAAAAGGGGCTGGGAGACACTGTTAACTCTCTTGTTACCCTTGCTGCCTTGTGTGTGCCATGTCGTTGCTGCTCTGCCAGGCCTGTTTGTCGTTCCTGCCTTGGAGTCGGCTGATTAAGGACTGAAAGCTCCACAAACTGTAAGCCAAATAAACTCCTTCCCCTTTAACTTTGGGTGTCTGGTATTTTGTCTCAACAACAAGAGAAGAGTAACTAACACACCACCCAAACTCTTGCAGCAACTCCAGAGTGTTCCCATGGTACAAATTAGGAAAAAGCAGTGTCTAGAAATTGGAGGTATCAGTGGCGATCATCTGTGCTGAAGAGAAAAAGCAGAGGGCACCTGAAGATTTTCTGAGTCGATACATAAGCACTCAAGGGATAAACATGGCTGCTGCCTTTAAAAGTAAAACCTCAGAGGAAATACTGTTCAATGGAGTCTTAATGACACCATATTCTATTTCAAAACCCCAAGTGTACACACTGTTCCAACCCAAACTAGTATGTGGAAGTTAGTTTGAGAGCAAGTACCTCTTACTCTTACCCTTCAAAAACACCACACAACAATGAGGATATAGTAAATCTTAAACAAGTGTCTCACATAAAATAGTGTTGTGGCTTTATTATATTCTTAACTATTTAATTTTAGATATGGAAATTACAGTTAGCTGCACGATACAGAGTCCTAGCACAGAATCTAGTTCATTTTACGCTGTGATGAAGGGCTCAGGAAAGCTTCAATGCTGAACTTCATCTATTAGAAATGACATTACAGAAGATGAAGATCTCTTGATAGAGTTTAAGATTACAGTAGCTTTTCTAAAGCTACTCACATTTTGAATGCGATTTCTTCTATTCCACTTATTAAAAAGCACATTTTGGTTAAGACCACTCACATTCTAGTATTTCCAACTAATAGAAAGCTTTGCTCATTTACTGCTGTGGTCTCAGTAACCTTTACTTGCATAAAAAATACTTAACCATCCAGTTAACTAATAACTTCAGCTATTGCTGTACACCAAGGAAACAGAATCTCAACAAGCAAGTAAAATAAATCCCACCTTGGTTAATTCGGCTGTTTGGACTAACTTATTCTTACTTCCAGCATACATCATCTGTTGTTCAGGCTTACATCCTGGAAAAGAGAAATTAGTGTAGAAATGAGGCACAGATTTGGAGAAGAGGATGGGTTCTCATTAATTTTATTTCTGAAAATGACACATTTAGGATTTCCTTTGCTGTTTAGTTTTACAAAAACTTTGTTCTAAATATATATGAGCTCTGTTTTGAGTCTTACACTGCTTGCAAAAAGTGACAGCTATAAGTAAGTCAGCAAAAATAAGTGGCTCCAAACTTCTGCAGATCTTGACTTTTAAAGCCTTGTAAACACTCAAAAACTTTGTTCAGCGCTATCTAAATTTTGACACTAAAGATCAATTTTATAGATATTTAAACTAAGTAAATAGTATGTAAGAGGTTCGGGGATGTAGCTCAGTGGTGCTGCTGCTTGCCTTGCAAGCACAAGGTCCTGAATTTGATCTCCAATACACACACACACACAATGAGATGGTGGTGGGGCAGGGAGATCTACTATGAACAAAAGTTATATAGTCGGTTTATATATTAATTTAAAAATAAACTAGGACCGGGAATTTAGCTCAGTCGTTCTGCCACCTGCCCCACAAGCTCAAGGTCCAAGTCGATCCCCAGTCCCCCAAAATAAATAAACAAACTAGATTCTGTTTTAAGGATTAAGAAAAAGACACAAATAATCAAGTTTAGAGGGTAGTTCAGTGAGTATAGTCTTTCCTGTGGGCTTGAACACTGGTGGTAGGGAATTCTGGTGACAACGGATTCCTTAAACACCAGTAATTTTTAAAAATTTTTTTATTTCTTGAGATACTGGAGGAAGAACCCAGGGCTTCACACATGCCAGACCAGAGCTGTCACCGAGCCATGTCCTGGCCCAATCCATTTCAACACACAATGCAGACTACTTGGGACCCACTCTCAAGATGATAGGCCTATCACTGGTGACTACTAGAGAAACAAATTATCATGATTATATGAAGCTCACACACTTCAACCAAGACGAAAACATATGAGAAAGTAAACTTGTAACATCTAAAAAGTGTCCTTATTCAGAATCATTAAAATGTATGTGTAATTTGACCCAACAAATTATACTTCTAGAAAGCAAACCCTTTGGAAGAGGTGCTGCTTTACATTCATTCTAGGGATGCCGGCAGGTGTGTGCAAACACACACACACACACACACACACACATGCACACACACGTGCGCGCCCCTCAATCTAGGTTGTTCAACAATTTTCTTCTTTTAGAATAGCATAAAACCTGTCTAGTAAAAGATGATTTAATTAGACCAGACCCAAAAACATATTATTTAAAGAAATTTACTCACCAACAGGACTGGAGAAAATAAAGCACAGAGGGTATGACACTCTTCCATCATCATGTTGATATTTATAACTATACACAATGAAGGTTTTTCTCAAGTTAAAGAAACTGAAGTCATTGCTGTGAGAGTTATTTACCCAGGGAGCCACTGGGCCACAAAGTAGTATCTTACTCATTTAGGCCACCTCTTCCATTTTTATCTTTCCACAAAATTATAAATGGATCCCAAAAGTAAGTTATAAAATCATGTACTCTCTCAAAAGTATGGATTTTTATTTTTCAAAAAAATTTTTTTCTGAGACAGAGTCTCACTATATAATTCATTCTGGTCTTGAACTGGGAGCACTCCTTCTACCTCAGCCTCCCGAGTGCTGGGATTACAGGCGTGCGCCACCATGCCTGGCTTATTTTTCAATTTTTATTCTACACATAATATAATAAAGGAAATCTCCCTCCTTGCCTTCTCTCCTTGCCTTCCAAGGGTTCATTACATTGCCCAGAGCTGGCCTTAAACTTACAATTCTCCTGCCTCAGCCTCGCAAGTGCTGGGATTATAGGTGAGTGCCACCACACCCAGGAAAATAATTTAATCTCACGAAAATGTCAACTTTTTATTTTTCTTAGTCCAATACATGCATATATTTTTTAACTTGGTTATAATCATGATATAGAAAGACATTATGACTTTTGAAAATCTAACAAGCTCATAAGTTGTGACAACTAAAGAAAACAGGTCTTTCTAAAGCACTAAGAAAAGGATATCGAGGTTGCCGTTCAGGTAGTTCATCTTTAAGTTCATCCGGTGAAATACCCTAGCACCATAGAAAAAAGCATCTTTTTAACATTGTCTTACCCACAAGTTCTTATGGGATACATTAAGCACACTTCCTAATAGTCATAAATTATCACATAACACAAAATAAAATCAATTCCATTTATTAACTTAACACAGAGACACAGGGCTGTGTGCTGAAGTCCCCACTGTCAGGAAATGGGTGACACCAGCCAGCGCCTCAGAGGAGACATCAGGTTCACCGAGCTAGCTGCTTAAAAACTAAATGCTTACATCTGTAGGATTTTACTTTTTAATTACTTACTAACCCAGCAATTCGGAAGTTCTAAAGCTGACTCTGCACTGGGCATGCAGCCCTCACGTCTACCGCTTTTCTAGTAGTCCTGTCAAAGCCCTAAGAGCGAGACAACATGGTCCGAGATAACTAACCCTTGCTTTCATGCACATCAAGTATGAATCAAAAGGAGGTTTAAAATGCATTTTAAAAGTACACAAGGGTCGGGGATTTAGCTCAGTGGTTCAGTGGCCTGTTTTGTAAGTGCAAGGACCCGAGTTCAATCCCTGGTACAAAAAAAAAAAAAAAA